TGGGATGGGTTTAGTTCACCTGCCCGGTGAGGGCTAAATTTTCTACCAATATTTGTGGAGGAGACTTTTAAGATTTTCACTTGCTCTGATATGTAATCTTATGGACGCTGTGGACTAAATTTGGGGTGAGAGACTTTATGGAAATATCAACTGGCTGTCTGGGTATTTTAAACGCTCATATGAATTAATAAAATATCCAGTTTATTTTCAAGAAGTTAGAGTCAGATGTCCTTCCACCTGGGAGCCAAGAGTTACTTATGTGCTCGGAAGTCTGCACGTCAAAGAGATGGCTCTCACATTCCTGAGAGGACAGTTCCTGTTAGCAGAGGTTTAGGGTAATTACTAACTTAGTTTCCCCCTTCTTTTTCTTATGTGCACGACAATTCCATTTCCAATGTCCTGACCCTCTGCAATATCTGCAAGTGACTTGAGATGAACACAGGAGATTTGAGAACTGGTAAGATGGAAGGATGGACTTTAAATTACTTCTAGAGCCTCATTTTCTGTTTTGGTAAAGACTCAATTAGTAAGACAGGTTCTGTTGCTTTTAATTCCTCAAGGAATCGGGCCACCTCAAGGGTAACGCCAAGGGGCTGACCCACGTATTCAGCTAGAGTCTCTTGACTTGGCTTCTTTACACCAGGAAGATTTCCAACTAAGATGGAAAAGAGTCCTAAATTCTGGATTTAGAGCTGTGTGCCTTTGGAATGATTTTATAAGTCTTTCCACAAAGGCTTGAGGATGTTTCTGTCCTTCTGGGCACTTAGTTCCATTTTAGCCCATTATTCATAGTGTGAAGGAAAAGCTGGGCTGGTCTAACAAGATAACTCACAAGTCTAGGAATGTGAAGGAGAGGCTGGGCTGGTCTAACAAGATAACTCACAAATCTAAGTATTGGAATACTGATCTGAGTTCTGTTAGACTAACTTGTAAATCTAGGTTAATTAGTGTTGGTTTGCTGTTTATGTGTTTTTGCTAGCCAGCTGGATTTTCAAAGATACATATCTGGCTTTGGAATGTTGGTTTGCTGCCGCCCCGCCCCGCCCCCACTTTTGTGATGCTAACGCTGCTAAAGCTGTTCCATGCCTATTGGCCGAATACCCCAAGCTTGTACTTTACCCTATAAAACCTCATGTGCACATCTTGAAGGTGCTCAGAGCTTCGGAGCAGAAGCCCCTCTGAGCCCGCCGGCGTAATACATCTGAGTGCTCCAACCCTCCGAGTGGTGCTTGTTTCTTGACTGGCCTGTCGTTTCCGTAACAATAGGTGAGAAGGCCTTACAAATAGCTCCTATCAGGGCCTAAACATTGGCCTCCGATTGTGCCAACTTCTGACCAGACAGCTCTTTTTAAAAATCCTGCCAAGCATCTCCTTATCAGGTTTGTCTGGGACCAGCAGTAAATTTCCCTGAAGGTATTGACTCGCCCACCTTTTTTTCCCTCCTCTTTCAACATGACTTGAAACCACGATCAGTGGGCTTAACCAGGGATGCAAGAGGCATCTCCAGAGAGGGTACAAGAGATGCAGCCCACATGATCCAGAGTCACTCCCAAAGACAGCCAAGAGAAAGCAGGACTGAGACGAGGTCCCTGAGAGTGGGCCGCCGTCAGTAGCATGTCATTTGCAACGGGTGCAACCCACATTTCTGTCCACTGACTACAAACTGCTGGGGCCCCTCAGCAAGCTGGCTGGCTGCCTGCAGATACAGCCCTGGCTCCCTGGGCCCCCCAGCAGGCAGAAAGTGAAGCCAAGTTTTCAGGCCCCAAACAAGACACACAGGAAAGCAAAGGATCAATAACCAATAAGCAGAGGGTCAATTACCAATGAGTCATCAAAACCAAAGCCACCCACGGGTGATACCCCTGAACTCACTCCTCCACTAATCTAAATGCAGGCAAGTAAGAGAGGCTTACTGCCCTCATCCCACTGGACCCCAAGCAGAAATCTGAGAGGCTGAACTTGTACTTACTACCAGGTTTGTCAGATGCCCTGAGTTCTCAGCTACAACTTCCAAAATGATTGGGGTGTCCCAGCAGCCCTTTTGTGATCGCCAAAACTCTCTGAGGTTAATCCTTGGGGCCTGTGAATTAAAGCCATGAAAGACAGATAACAGGAGAAAGGTTTATTACATGTGCATACAGGGGATTCCTGGGTGAAAAAAGTGAAAACCTAGAGAAGCAGATAGGCATACTCCCACCAGGGCTGATTCCGAGCGATGTTACCAGTGTCACGACACTGCACGAGGCACTGGGAGAAACAAGAAAGACACACGACAGAACAGGCAACCCACAGGCAAACGCAGAAAACACCGCCGCGGAGCCTACTTTTATAGGGAAAAGGGCTGGGGTGGGGCTGGCTTAACTGAAAGTTCATTGGAGGAAAGAAGGAGGGCAGGCTGGTAGTGGCTTCTCATTGGCTGAACGTCAATGTTTCTCATTGGCTGGGCTGTAACTGAACGAGAAGAAATTCTTCCGCAAGAAGAGTAAAATAGTGCATTTCCTGTTTGGGGGAGGACGGTAGCTTCTTCCCGTGGGGCATGGAGATAAAGGTCAGTGCGTGCAAATGACGGTGAGTGACAGCGCGTGAGCGCTCCCTCTGCAGGCCATTCTCGACTCTGCTGGCCAATTTCAGTGCGATGTCGTTTACTGACTGTCAAGTCCTTGTCAGCTTGCATCTCTCTGACCCTCTGCTATGTCTTAGTGTTTGTGCCCCCCCCCCCAATGTGTATGTTAAATCCTAACGCCAGGTGTGATGGTGTTTGGGGACGGGGCCTTTGGAAGGTGCTCAGGTCGTGAGAGGGAGCCTTCATGAATGGGATTAGTGTCCCTATAAAGGAGACCCCACAGAGCTCCCTGGCCCCTGCCCTGCGTGCATCTGCGGACACAGTGAGAAGCTGCCTTGGGGAGAGGCTCTCCCGCGACACGAGCACAACCGCTGTCCTTTACAAGCCACCCGGTCTGCAGTGTTTTGTATGATGACGGCGGCCGGAGCCGACTGGGACACCTTCCTTTTGAGGTTCTTTGGGCCTCTGACTCTCATACCGTCGGGAAGGGTCCCCGACTTGTAAGGACAAGTGATTGGACTGGGCCCGCTGGGATAGTCCGGGATAGTGTCTGCGTCTCGAGGTCCTGAACCTCCATCACATCTGCAAGGTCCCTTTTGCCCAGTAAGGGAACCTGCCCATTGGTCCGGTAATGAGGGTGTGGACATCTTTGGGGCCATTAATCAGCCAACCGCTGGGTCGTACACCCACCTCCTGCGTCAACAGTAGCAACGTTTTGCGGATATTGCTTTTTCTCCTATTTCCCTACTTTAAATTTTCTCTGGAGTATTAAAGAAAATTCCAGAAATCATATAATTTACCTATAATGACTTTAGTATGTTTCTCTAGTCTTAAAAAATACAATCACTTAATAGCATGTTCATAGCAAAATTATCAATAATTCTTTAGTATCACCTAACATCCCTTCAATGTCTGTTTCCCAGTCTTTTAAAAGAAGGTTTTTTTTAAAAAAGCTATTTTGTTCTGATTGTGGCCCAACCCAGACCACGAGCTGCATTTGGCTGACGCAGCTTTGCAACAGCAGATCTGCCTTTTGTTGTGATGTTGCTTATTTGTGGAGTAAAGAAACGGACTTCCCCACACAGTGGATTCTGCGGGTGGCTTCCTGCTGGTGTAACATAGCACGTTCGTTTGGTCCCCGTATTTCTTTAATCTTGTTCTAGGCTTAACCAGATTTCATCTTTCCCCTCCTCTTTTCAGTTGGCGGTAACAGTTTGGCAATGATGCCGTATACCTCCTGTTGCATCATATCACTGTTCACAAGACAGGCCGGTTGTGCCAGTCTGGGTGGGTAAAATTGTTCCTCTGGGCGTATTCGAAAACATTACAATATCCTTGATAATAGTAATTACCACTTACTGCTTCCTTACGTCGACCAGGCATTTCGCCGATTGCTTTTTTCTGCGATTTCTCATGTCACGTGGCAGTATGCTCACAGAGTTGCAAAAACACACCGGAAGTGGTTGGTAGGTAGACACTGAATTACTGCTCTGAGCTTCAGTTTTTTTTTTTTAACAGTGATTCTTGCTCTTAGGTTATTCTGAGGATTTTTTTTGAAGTAATGATGCGACGCTTTTTGAACAGTAGAATATGCCCTGCTCTACTGCTGTTAAAAATAACTATAAAAAGAAAAGCCCAAATAAACAGTCACTGTCGTCGCCTGTCTCATTGGTTCCACACAAGTTTACTGAAGGCACTGAGCCAGGCCCTGCGGGCGAAGGTGGAAGCCTCCCGGTGCCCGCGCCCC